AGTTCCAGAGAATGACAGGGACATGTCAGGGATACAGACAGCTCCCAGGGCTCCTCCCAGCCTTATAATTGTAAAACATGGTGGTAATGGATGTAACTTCAAACAAAGCAGAAAACCTCAAGAGTCCATACTGACATGTACATAAACAAATGCTCATCAGACCAGGAGTTGGAGGATCAAGGTATCTTCACAAAAGCTTCTTGCTTACCAGGAAGAACAAGGTGAAGGTGTTAACAGCCTCTGCCTTATTACACTGACAGGGCATGTCACCAGGGAGGCATAAATTGGGCCTGTGCCCCTCCCAGGATGCTCAGGGCATGGCTTCTAGAATGTTCCTACTAGGGGCACAGAGCCTGACCCTGGCCACTAGACACCAGGTGAACCCATACTGAGGCCCTTCCACATGGAGCTGGCCTGTGTCAAGGTTAGGAAGGTCAAGGGAGACTGAGGACCGTCCCGGGTGGAAGGAGATGGAAGCCATGTGACTGCAGCACGGGCTTCTGAACAGACATTCTGCCACAGGGACAGCACTTGGTCCATGGGTGACACCTGAAGGGTCTGGCTGGAGAGGCCAGGCTACGGGAACACACAGTCCAGGGCAGGGGCTCAGCCCGAGGCCTATCCTTAAGTTCAAGAAACAATGTACATTCTCTTCCTCTGTGTGTGGCTTTGCTCACGTTTTAAGTCTTTCTTTTTTTGAGACAGTCTCACTACATTGCCCTTGGTAGAGTGCTGTGGCATCACAGCTCACAGCAACCTCCAACTCTTGGGCTTAAGTGATGCTGTTGCCTCAGCCTCCCAAGTAGCTGGGACTACAACCATCTGCCACTACAATCATACACCTGGCTATTTTTTGTTGCAGTTATCGTTGTTTAGCAGGCTTGGCCTGAACCCGCCACTCTTGGTGTACGTGGCTGGTGCTGTAACCACTGTGCTACAAGGGCTGAGCCTCGTTTTAAGTCTTTCAAAACAAGTGACTTGCAGAGCTGACAAGCCTGGCTGAGCCTCACAAAGGTTTGCAACTGGGAAGTGGCATCCCACATTCCAGTTAGCGAGCATTAGCACTGAGTATATTTCCAGGAAAGTAACATTTGCAAGCAAATTAATTTGGCATTATATTTACCTGCTAAGATGGTAAAGGTTATCATACTAACAAGCAGGCGATTCCATGATTGAGCACTTAAAAGAGAAGGACCTACCTGCTGATTTGCCAGAGAAATTCCAATAGTCCCAAAAAACTGTTCAATGTAGGAGACGATGGCACCAAATACTGCTGGGCTTCTTGGGCCGCCCGGGTCCTGTAAGGAAGCAGCCAACAAAGGCTCTCAGCACAGTTGGATGCTGGTGTGCTCAGGAAAGTCAGGAAGAGCTTCAGGGCTGCTGCCGTGGGGCCTTTTTGTTCAGCTTCTGTCTGGGAAGGGGGCAGCTCCACCATCAGCCGGCCTTGCTGGCAGACCACACAGTGTGGGTGCAGAGGAGTCTCTAGCACAGTGTTTCTCAACCTGTGGGTCACAACCCACAGGAACTGTATGTACTAAAGGGTCGTGGCATTAGGAAGGTTGAGAACCACTGCTCTAGCACCTCCAACCCAGTCTGCATCATTGGGGAATGGTGGTACGAGCTCACCATGGTGGGTGATGAGCTGAAAGGGACAGTGGGCTGTGGTGTGCGGCAGGTGGAGGGTGAGTGGGACTGGGACTCGATTTCTAAGTCAGAAAATGAAGAAACCCTGACATGAGGCTCACATACGTCAGAGGCACAGATGCTCGCGGGATGCCAGCTTTCATTCCTGGGCACAGGTGCGACAGACAGCTGCAGGCAGCCAGGCCCCTGTAGCCTGAGCAGGGGCAGGGCAGAGAGGAGGCCAGAGACAGCCTTGGGGAAGGCCGCCTGGGCAGAGTGCACTCTGTGCTATAGCAGTCCTGGCCACTGGACCCACCCTCCCCTGCAGTGGCGGGTGGTGTCTGTGCTGTGCCCGTGCCCTATGCACTGACCAGCAGGGCAGCTCAGGAGACCATGGCCCTACAGTCTGCCTGTGCTGGTCAGACCACACGTGTATCACATAGGCACAGGCCCTGCTGGCTTCACTGCCCCCAGGTCAGCTGCAGACTTGCGAAAGATGCAGCCCAGTGAGGCCCCGCTGCTGACTCTGATGTGGCCTCCCAACTGGAATCTGCTATAAAATGCACACGGAGCACAGCCAGAGGTGGAGCCCTCCACCCAGGGGCTGAGCTAACTGGGGATTTGGACCAGAACCTGTGAATGTTACCAAAGGTGGGAAAGGTACCAGGGCAGCCTCAAACAGGGTCTTCAGAGCTGTGTCACCCTCCTGGGTCCTGGAAGGTTGCGTGGCTCCCAGGAGAGTTCCTCCCAGGGCCAGCACCTGCCTGACAGACCCCATCCCAGCCCCAGGTTGTGGCAGGTGGACCCTCAAAAGTACCCAGGAACCAAAATCTGCCCACCTCCTCTGCCTCCACCCAGTACTGCAAACGCCCCCAGGGACTAGCAGTTCAGGCTAAGCCCCACATGCAGACTGCACAGTGCCTACAAGGGGGGAGGTGGGTCTTTCCCTGGAAAGTTCTGCATAGAGGCTATCTCTGAACTGTGTAGTGGTGGTACCTGTAGTCCCAGGCACATGGGAGACTGAGGCCAGGAGTCAGGAGTTCAAGGTACATAGTAAGACTCCACCTCAAAACCAAGAAAACTTCTCTAAGAAAGCGTCAGGACACGGGTGGCACCTGTGGCTCAGAGGAGTGGAGCGCCAACCCCATATGCTGGAGGTGGTGGGTTCAAACCCAGTCCCAACCAAATAAAAAAAAAAAAAAGCATCAGGACTGGAGTGTGTACAGACATGTTCCCTGAGGACTAAGCACACCCAGACCCTGAGGAGCTGGCTGTCCCCAGCTGGCCTCAAGGCCAGGGCAGAGACATGCCTGGCCCTGTGCATAGCTGCCTCCTGGTTCCTGTGAGCAACAAACTCAGGCTCCACCAAGCTCCTCCTGTGACAGGAGGGTTGCACGGTGCCACTCTGCGTGTTCCCAGAGTCACTGCTCTGGGCAGCTGGGCCTCACTGGGCCATCAGGGAAGACCATGCAAACCGGGCAAACTCTAGGACTCTTACTGGGGGGCCTGGCCAGTGGCCTCTAGGTACCACCAGCTGTGGCAGGCAGTGTCACCAAAGCCACATCTGTTACTTCCACATGAGAAAGACCTGGTGGGCAACAGGCTGGTGAGGCTGCCAGCTCCTGGGTTACCTGAGCCGCCCGGAGCTGTCCGTTCCCGAGGTGTACGAGGCCCAGGATGGCATCCACGGCCCTGGGTGTGTCAAAGTCATCCGCCAGCGCGGCCCATACAGCCCCCTTGGTGCTGGAGAGGCTGCAGAGAGATGAGGAAAGAACGGTCACCAAGGCTGTGGGGAAGTTGACCTGGC